AAATTTGTCATGATATTAAGAGGACAAATTAGAGTCTTGTATGGTGGTGTCAGTTATTGTGCTGGACTGCAAAGTAGGTTTGAACTACAGAGTCGATTGTTCAGCCTCACCAGCCACTCCTCAGAAACCCTGTACAGGGTTGCCATGAGTCGGAACCTGCTCAATGGCACGTAATAACAACATTAAGAGGACATTGTTATAATTTAGATAGCAGAGCTTATTTTCAGAATAGGGCTATTGTCTTCCTGTTTGTCACCCCAGACTTGGTACCCTCCCTTGACTGTGCCATATTCCACCCAGAGTGGCTGGCCTCAGGAGATAAAGCTTTCCATGTCTCTATTCTCTAATTTGAACCGACTCGACGGCACTTAACAACAACAACAAATTCTCTAATTTGACCAATATAGCGAGGAAGGAGAGTGAGATGTGAGTTTGAAGGAGTTTTAAAAAGTTTATGGAAAAATTCCGCTATCTTGTAATACCATTTCCCCCCACCATTTGAAAACCCCCAAATTCATTGTCATGGTTTTCTACCTATAAGCTTACCCTAGCTCACTATCCCTTCAGCTGAAGCCTTCCAGGTGCTCCAGCCTTTACAGAACTTCCTCTTCTTCTGGACTCGATTAATATTCCCTCTACTTGTTCTGTGGGACCTAAAGTTGGTACCAGTTTAGAAGTCATTGGCCCTGGGCTACTACATGATTCCTGTTTGTACTGTGAGACTGTAATGCCTCTGTTTAACTTTTATAAATTAGTTTAATTCTTCAAAAAATAAAGTGGATATAAGTAATCATAATAGGCAGACATATTCTTTATTGTATCATTATCAGCTCCTAAAATACTATGTTTTTGTAACCATTAGCCTTCTGGAAAACTTTGGTATTTTTAATTATGTGTTGATCATGCTTCCTACAGCATGTCTAAGTTCCTTATTAGTTTCAACAGGTTTCATGTGGAATCTTTAGTTGATTAAGCATTAAGCTGCTAACGGCAAGGTTGGCAGTTCAAACCCACCAGACATTCTGCAAGAGAAATGTGCTTTCTGCTCCCATAAAGATTTAAAGCCTCTAAAATACTCTACAGAGTTGTGATGTGTTAGAACCTACTTTACAGCACCTGACAAATTAGAAATAAATGAAAATAGCTTCTGAGTATCGAGAAAGGATGTGAATGAAGTGTTTCCATATTGTTTCGTAGAATTCTTCAAAGATTTTGTGATTTCAACTCGTTTGTTTCCTTTTTTTTCAAGTATCTTTTACATAAAACTTGTTTATTAAAGACAGAAGAGAAGTGATAGAGCCAGGTACAGTGGTGGTAGAACAAAATTACATCTTAGAGTGGAGAGAGAAGTGATACCTTACGGACACAAGGGATTCACTGACTTTTAACTTTTTATAAGATAAAATTATCACTGATCTGATCAAAGGAATAGACCTGAGGCACCCATATCTAATGTTTTCTTGCAAATCCAGAGTGGCAACTTTGTTTTTTCCTGAATAAAATAACAATGCTGTCCACATGGTCCACTTTGATAGCCTTCCTTGTAGAAAGAGTCTGACCTTTCACAAGAGAACACACACCATGCCCCAGTTGAACTGACTTTTAAAACATAAGGATATACTTCAATTCACCATGGCCAAACTATAAACTTGATAAATACTACAGTTATCAAAATATTAGTAGACTGAAGAATAAGTTGTTGTTGTTAAGTACCATGGAATTGGTTCCAACTCATAGTGAGTCTACACAGGGTTTTCGAGGCTGCAAATCTTTACGGGAGCAGAAAGCCTTATCTTCCGCGGAGCAGCTGGTAGTTTTGAACTTCTGACCTTGATGTTAGCAGCCTGATTCGTAACCATTACACTACAAGTACTTATGGAGAATTCCTGAATGGTTATTCTTTCTGCTGAATATGCAAATTTTACTTGAATTTAGATGTATTAAGAGATCATCAGATAATTGAATATTTATAAGTATGCTGTTGTTGTTGT